TGAGGGAGACTCCTCGTGAAGAGCTGCACTCCAGGATGCCCAGCAAGGGCCTGAGCTACGGTCTGCTTGTTGCGCTCTGGCCCTTAGGAAGCCAGGAGGAGGTTCGCGTGGCCGTCCTGGTGCTCAGACCGCGGAGCGCAGTCCTCGGTTCTGCGTGGAGGCTGGCGGCTGGGCGTCTGCAGGCTGTGCGTGGATGTGTACCTGAGAGAACTCTCCTCTTCCCGTCCTTTTGTGAGGACTCCAGCCCTGGGGCGAGGACCCTTGTGACCCTGTCAGTCTTAATCACCCCAACCCAAAGCGGGTCTCATCCCCCTGGGGGACCACAGCTTCTTCCTCGAGCCGGGGACAAAGTCCAGCCCCCAGCAGCACATGTTGAGTGTGAGTGTCCGCACATTGGAGGAATTTCCAAGGGACAATTTGGAAAGCACTTAGTTTGCTTACTACTTTATCCAGTAAGTTACAGTGTGTTTCGCAAAACCTGAAGAGACAGTGCAGGACACATACTGAGTGTAGGATTTTAAACTGGAACAAAGTTAGGTGGTTTACCTACTTTGTGTAACAGGCCACTTTCCAAGAGCAGACCGAAGTTGTGTTTATACCTTTTTTCTTTTTTCCTGCCCAGAGGGCAGACAGGAGAGAGGTTGGTTTTAGGATACCGTGGTGCTGCCTTGTTTGGCTTCTTGCATTAAAGCCCGAACACTCAGCATCTGGCTTGTTGACGAGACAGATGTTAGCATCGGGTCATGGAAGTGGATTGGGGCTGCCCACTCGTGCAGCCGGGACGGCTGGTTGTTGGTACAGGTCTGCAGGGAGCAGAGTTGCTCTGTGCCCGCCCTGTGCAGAACATAATCCAGCATGGAGTGAAGGCGGGTAGTGACCGCTGGGTGTTGGGTTTGGAGTAGGGGTGGGGTGGGATCATAGGGTGCCGCCTCTGTCGAGGCCCAGGGTACAGAGCCCGCGTGGCTGTCTGTGTCACACTGCAGGGTACCCTGTAGGTCCCAAGCCCTCTATTGTCGAGTGTGAATTTGTTCTTTTTAAATAACCAAAGCCTTGTTATCTGTTACAGCAGAAACCTCGCTGGCCCCATCAGGGGAGGGTTGGCACCGTGTGAGAGCCAGACACCTCATTCATTGGTTAAACCCTTGGGCCCCAGCCCCGCTGGGCCCCGCACCAGGGTGCATGCTGCCCAGTGCCCTCGAGGCCTGGCAGGTGATGCACACCTCACACGTGGCCCCTGTCACCTGGTCTCTCAGCAGGATCTCAAAGGATTTGACTCCAAACACATTTTCCAGTGCTGTTTTGTTTTTTTCTTACATCAAAAATGGTGAGATTGGGGCTGGGGATTTAGCTCAGCGGCAAAGCGCCTGCCTGGCAAGCGCAAGGTCGTGAGTTCGGTTCCCGGTACCGGAGCAAAACCAAAAAAAAAAAAAAAAAAAAAAAATGGTGAGATGAGTAAATAACATCAGAAATGGAAAGTCCAAGCGCCGTGCTGGTCACGCAGCGGCACCATCACACCAGCGCACTCTCTCCCTGCAGACCCAGGTCAAAGGTCACCATCACTGAGAACAGGCATTCCTGGGACAGCGGGGATTCTGAACCAAGGCAACACACTCTCTGGGGAGAAAAGGCACTGTAGGAGCCCGACAGCATCTGAGGTGCCCGGACGTGACCAGCAGCCCTAGGCCACATGTCCCTCCTCTTGTCGAGGACCCTTTTGTGGTTTCTTTGCCACCTCCCTGCCCCAGTGGGGGATCTCTGGGACCTTGAAATACCACCCAGAGATGGGGGTGACACCCGAGTGGCAGAACTTGGCTGTCCCTAATCCTTGGCTAGAAATAGGACGGAGGAGGAAATCCTCTTTTCTCTGAGCGGGGAGATTACTTAACTGTTTCAGCGCTGCCTACTTCTGGGCAGGAGGAAGGGACAGAAGGAATGAGGGGCACAGAGGAGCTGTCCCGATTCTGGAGCCAGGACAGAGGGGTGAGGAGGACGGCCAGCGCTGCTGAGACCCTCTGGCCCTGTGAGACCTGTGGTCCAACCAGGTGGCTTCTGCTGTGCCCACATCCCAGCAAGGGCTTCTGCTGACCCTGGCTCTGCTCTACCCAGACAGCCCCCTCTGGCCGCACACACTAGCTGGGCCCCTTCTGGACAGTCAGAGCGCGTCATGCAGCTCCCTGCCCGCTTCTGCGCCAACCTCTGTGGAGACACTGCACCCCATCCCAGTCCCGCGCTGCGACCTGCCCTCTGGCTCCACCTCCTCGGTCAGCTTCGGTTTTAGCGTCAGTCGGAGAGCATGCAGGATTTGCCTCTCAGGGCCCAGTTTCACGTGAAGAATGACTTTTAGGATGATCAGGATGTGTCAGTTTATTGAGTGAATAAGCAGTAGATTATTTGCATTTTTTGCTGTGGCAAAAGCACATGATGCAAAGTTCACCATGGCGGCTCTTTCCTCAGACCCAGGCAGGTTTAAGCCTGGAATTTGTTCTCCCATTGATACCAAACATTTTGCGTTTTGGGGGAAGCTTTTTCAGTCAATAAAATAGACCGTGGTGGGGTGGGGAGAAGACTGAGGCAAACTTGAGCACTTGGTAAGTGTTAGTGGGAAATGGCCCCAGGTTGGAGGGTTTTTTTCCTTTTAAATGATGGTGACAAAGCTAAATTTTTTTTAAAGGTAAACACTTGAGTGAGGGAATTCACGTGAGCTTTACGTTTGCTTAATTAAGTGTCCTCAGAAGTGCTCTGAGAGTGGCAGGAAATGAGGCTGTTATTCCAGGAAAGAAAATCGGATTTTTATCTCAGGGCAAACAGTACTTTAGTAATAAGCAACAAATGCTGTAAAAGTTACATCCAGCTCCCTGGATGCTGCGGTTCCCCAGCTTGAAATAAGTCACAGGTTACTGTCTCAAGCCGGTGTTAAGGTCACATGGCTTTTTCCTAAATGCATGGGTAAGGAGTTTTATGTGAGATTATTCTTTTAGTAGCTTGATCCTGCTAACTGATTTGAATAATTTTTGTTTTATTTTGTTGTTTTGAGATGGGTTCTCACTATATAGTTCAGACTGGTCTGGAACTTACTATGTAAGCCTTGAACTAGCAGCCATCCTCCTGCCTCAGCCTCTTGCATGCTGAGATCATGGACGTGTGCCACCATACCTGGAAGTTTGAGTTTTTTTCTTTTTTGTGGCACTAGAGATGGAGCCCAGGCTCTCGTGCACGCTCAGCCAGTGTTTCACCCCTGAGCTGCCTCCCTGCCAGTTACCTATCTTTTCTTAACCTATAACATTTATGCTTTCATGATCCCCAAATGACTAAGAAATAGAGGAATTAAACTTCAAGTTGTGTCTGAGAGTTTCCTGTGCTTTGTCTGTCCTCTGAGAGGCAGTGCCTGTCGTTTGTCCTCCAGTGGAATTCTCCAGCTTCCTGAATCACCCTGTCCCTTCTTGAAGCAGAGCCTGGTTTTGGGCGTTACAGTCTTCTCCTTGCGAGCGTAGGCCTCATTAGTAAAGTCTTGATTACAGCATTGAATAACCATCTCAAACACTGGGGCTCATGAAGAAGCCTGCTTGTTGGGGGAGCCTGTTTGGCAGGTGGTCCGGGGAGGCCAGCAACGTAAGGATGGCGCCCGGGCTTCTGGGGCCCCTCACAGTTCAGCTCGAGAAGTGGGCTGCGGCTGGCTGGCCTGTGGTCGTCCCTGCACACTCGAGTGATGCGAGGTTGACCCAGGTGTGCCCGAGCCCCAGTGTGAGCCGCTTTCCTCGCTGTGACCAGCACAGTGCCCGCGAAGCACTGCAGGGAGGACAGGGTGATTCTGGCCCAGGGCTTCGGGCTTCCTCGCCTCCGGGCCTGTGGGGAGGCGGACATCGTGGAGAGAGCACGCAGGGGCGGCAGGCAGAGGGACACAGGGCCGGGGACACCGCTGTGACTCCCGAGCAGGCCCCGCCCCTCCCCACAGCACTGCTCACCGGGAGCCGAGCCTGCGGCGCCTCAGCTGTCTGAGGACATTAAGGTCCGGACCGGGCGCCTGGAAACTTCCATCGTCCACTTCAGGCAGGGCTGGTGGGACGGAGAGTGGGGAGAACCTACGGTCAGTGTCTCTGATGTCACTTTACATAGCAGGGCTGGCCAGAAGACAGGGACAGTTGGGCTCGTGCTGTGGGCTCAAGGGGCAGGGGCTGAGTTTTCACCTGGGGTCCCGCTCATGGGGAAGGTGAGAGGAAGCAGGACTGGGGTCTCGTGACTCAGTGGAAGCGGAGGCCAGGTAGACCCCGCAGGGCCCCTGCAGCTCCCTGACCCTGTTACGAGCGCCCGGTCCACCAACGGTGAGGGCTGAGGATAGCGAAGGTGATTGTAAACCCCGACCGGGCCCGTTGCAGCTGTCTGCTGTCCCTCCCTGCTTCTGGAGGCTGGGCCTGGGTCTTCCCAGCTGGGTGGGGGCTGTGTCGGCTCCTGTGCACCTGAGCCTTGCCTGCACATCTGGCTGGTCGCCCGTGCCTGGCTGGTCTCCCTCTCTACCAGGCCACTCACACCTGGCAGGCACCTGTCACCTGGCCGTTCCCCCACACCTGGCAGACACTGCTTGTCACGGCGCTGCCGGTTCCTCTTGTGCTGGGTCACAGCCTCCTTTTCCAGAGTTCCTTACAGATCCGTCCTCCTGCTTGGGTGGCTCTGGCCGTGCTGCTTCAGCGTGAGCTCGGCTGCCCTTCGTGGGCCCAGCTTCTCCGTTTCTGTTGCCTTCTGCCCACCCCTGGGTAACTTCAGAGAGGTGTCCTGACTGCCTGGAACTCCTAGGCCCCCAGGTGCTGCCCGGGAGCCTCCAAGGGCCCAGAGAACAGTGTTGGCCCAGGAGAGGCGGGTCTGTTGTCACATGCATCGACTCCTTAGAAACACTGTTCACTTCTCTCTTTCCGCTGTATAGGAGGGTGGTGCAGGGTCAGGGGTCAGTCTGTTTCCTGGGCTGTGAGCCCCCAGCCCCGCACAGTAAGTCACTCTCTGGAGGGGACCTGGCAGCCCCGCAAATGAGGACCGGATACCTGGGGAAGGAGCACAGGGGTTGTCTCTCTGGCCCTCCTGGTGAGCTGGACACCCAGTTCCTGGCCAGGTGCAGGATCTGTGCACCATGTTGGATTCACCTCCTGAGTTTCACTTCACGGGGCTCAGGCTCAGAGGGTTGGGCTCAGCCGCGGGGAGGCAGCACCTCTGCCTGTCGGCATGGGGCCAGCTGTGCCTACCTTGCTGCAGCCCTGGACTCAGCTCTGAGCTGGGCCTGCTCTGAGAGGACCGGATCCCGGTGCAGGGTCCTGCAGGTGTGTGGAGAGGGGTTGAGTGTGGGGAAGGGCTGTGACCCCTGGGGATGACCCAGCAGGGCCCTGGGAGGCTGGGGCGGAGGATGGGACAAGAGGGACAGAGGCCTCCTCCCTCCTGAGGAAGCTGACATGCAAGATGAAGGTGCAGCTAGAGTGACAGTGCCAGTTTGGGAAAACACCTGGCCATGCACCTGCCTCACTAGGGCTGTAGAGAGGGGCAACCTTGGCACAGAAGCACCTGGCTCATTCCAGAACATTCTAGAGCAGAGAAGCGAGGCTGGGCCAGGAAGCTAGAGCAGCGGGCTCTGGCTGTGAGCACTGTGTGAGGGGCTGAGTGCTGGGGCAGGCTCTAAAACGCAAACCGCACGTCACAGCGTCGCGGTGAGAGGCTGGCAGGACAGGTGTGAGAGCGGGCCACAGCCAGAGCACCCCGAATTGCACTGGCTCGCGGCCACCCGGGTGCTGGGGTGCCCCACACACCTCCTGCCTGCGCCTCTCAGAGTCTGAGCAGGGTTCTTCAGGAAATGCGTTTCTGGAAAGCACTGAACATGATCTAGTTTCAGACCAGCATCCCGGGCCCTCAGGTGCCTTTCATGCTCTGGGTGTGGGACCTGTGGGTCCCTGTGCATCTGAGATGCTGCCCTCATGTTTTCAGGTTTTACTTGGGTTTGTTGATCGGTTTTCAGCCTCTTGAGGGCCGGCAGTGGGGCACACCGGACTGGTTCCCTGCCTGTCCAGCGATGCAGGGGGGTGGAACAGTGGTGCTCCAGGCCGCTGCTAGCTCCTTTCACACGGAGGATTGCGCCAGCTCCCCTGTGCTGGGAGCGGGCCCCCCTGCCAGCTGCCCTCTCCGGTACCGGGAACCGAACTCACGACCTTGCGCTTGCCAGGCAGGCGCTTTGCCGCTGAGCTAAATCCCCAGCCCCCCGGCTGCCCTCTGACACGGCTCTTCACCACCTCAGAGCTGCGTGCGGTGTCTGTTTCCACAGGGCTGCTTTCCTTTACTTCCTCCTCCTCCCGTAGACAGACGAATCCTTCCTGCTCCCCACCACCCTTTGCGGTGGATGGTGGCTGTGGCTCCCCAGCGCGTCCCCATCCTTTTCTTCTCCCTTGGGTGGCCGTCAGTGGGCCCTGTGCCTGGTGGGTGATCTGAGCCCCGCTCGGGGGCAGCAAGGCTGCTGGGGACCAACAGTAAGTGTGACTCAGCACCACGGCCTCGCGTGTCCAGGTGCATTGGAGGGAGCTCAGGTGCAGGTGGGCGGGGCCTTGCTCCTTTGCCCTCCAGCTGCCGCCACCTGCACGGCACCAGATTCTCCACAGAAAGCCCCACAGCGCTCTGCGAGCTGCACCGGCGGTGCACAGGCTGCATCCCCCTGCCTGGCCCGCTGCACAGTAGCCAGCCAGGCGCAGGTGTTTGGTGGCCCTCGTGACTGTGCAGGTGTGGTCCCCACAGGAGGGGTTGGCAGGTCCTGCCCCTGGCACAGGCAGCGCGGACACACAGCGGACTGAGGGGACTGGCCGCCCGGTTGTGCCCAGCAGCGGTAGCAGCAGGTAGAGCTGAGGCAGTGACTGTCCCACCCCTGGAGACCCCAGGACAGGGCGCACCTGGGCCAGCGCCCTGAGGATGGTTTGCTGGTTCCTGGAATCTGAGGTTGAGTGGTGAGGGAGGGGGAACTGGTGAAGGGGCTGGGCAGGTGCAGGAAGGCTTCAAGCTGTGCTGCGCAGCGATGTCTGCAGCCAGCCGCCCAGTAGATGCCTCGGTCGTCTCAGCTTGGTGTAGGCCGCAGCTCTTCCCCTCAGCCTGCTTATGTTTCCTTGGCAAGCGGCTTGCTGGTGCTGGGGCAGCAAGACACAGAAAACCAACCACCCTCACTCTGCGAGCTGGAAGAACTGACCATTTAGTTTGGCAATTTGAAGAGCAACGAGGAGCAGAATCCTGGCAAGCACGTCAAAATCATTGTGTCTTGGAGTGTCCCCACAGAGCCGGCAGGGTTATGCATGAGAAAAGGACCAAGCAGAATGAAAAACACAGCCCTGACTGCTGCCTCCTGAGATACCTCGCTCTAAAGGCCTCTTCTTTGGGACATTGCTAGCAGGAAACATTTTGTAGAACACTTTTGAGATATTGCAAATTTTTCATTTACTATATAGCTTTAAAGCTCTTGTGTATGTTCTGTGAATCCCTTAAAATAACTTGGTGTTGCAGGTGCTGGTAAACTCCTAGCTGTTCCTGGTGATAGCTTGCCGTATTTTTAGCACACTTAACTACTCTACTTTGCATTGTTCAACCAGTAATTAGAAAGTACCCTCTGGGGACCAGGTACTGTGCTAGGTGTTGGGAGCACAGAAAACAAAACAAGAGCTGGTCTCGTCCCCCTGGAATTTAAAATCTAGCAGGAGAGTCAAATAGGGACTTTCCAAAAAATGTAGCACAGACCCCCACAGAGAGCTTGGCTTCTGGTCTTTGCTTGGGAAGGGACTGGGGCCACACAGTGCGCAGATGCCACAGCCAGGTCTGCTGGGTCCCCACTTCTGCCATCAGCCCAGTCCTTGAGGCCACGGCCACGTGGACAGTTTGCCTGACACCAAACTGAGACTCGCACTGGCCCTGCACAGCTCCAGCACCACTGTGGACTGTGGGCCTGTCCACAGCTTCCATGGCAAGGGAAAGATGGAGCCTCATTCTTCATGTCCCTTGTGGAGTAGCAGCTCCCAGTGCGGCTGGGGCTTTCTGGTGAGCAGAGGAAAAGCGCCCTTCCCCCTGCAGCAGGCGTGGCAGACTGTCTGGAAAGGGTGTTGTAGTAAGCATTTCAGGCCAGCAGAGCTGCGCGGGCTGCAGCTGCTATACTCTGCCCTTGTGGGCGTGGCAGGACACGGCCACTGATGCGAAGTGGGGAGTTTCACACAGTAGTCACACGTGGCAGCCACGTGGGCTGGCAACATGCTGAGTGCGCTGTCTGGGATCAGTGTGGACCAGACGCTGTGTTGTCACAGAGGGAGGATCCAGAGCAGGGGCAGACCATCTCAGAAACCATGTGACCATTCTCGGGGTAGAAGGCTCTTCGTTAGCGTGGCCTGACCCTGGGCGACCCTTCTGTGATATGCCACCCTTACAGATCAGAGGCTGTCTTTATGGCTCTTCGCTGAGTGTACACCCTCTTCCTCTGTTTCCCTTGGCTGTCTCTGACTCTGCCAGCTCAGAATATGAGAGCCGTGTCCCTGTCCCTGCTGCGTGGCTGGCCTCAGAGTGGTCAGTATCTCTGGTGTGTGAATCATGACACGAGGGACAGCCACAGTGCTCTGCTATTTTTAGCGATCCTGCTGTCTTCAGCTATGCTGTCAGCGCTGCAAGCTAGTAGGCCACCGTTACTCAGAGGAGGCCTAAGGAGACCCAGCATTGGCCCCTTGCTGTGGCAAAGTTGAACCGGAGAGACCTGGGCCATGAGACACTGAGAGCTGTTGCTTGGTCAGTGACGATTCTGATCGGAGGCAAACTGGGGAGGTGACCACTTTCCAGTGGCGCATGATAACGATTTGGCAGATACCCACATGTCACAGGAACGTCACAGTGACACGTACTTCTCCATCAGCCAGAGTTTAAATGCAAGGGCATTGAAAGCATGACTCTCAGTCCTGCCTTTGGGTGTGGAGGTCGTCGTCATCTTGCTTCCTATTTTCAGGATCCTTGCTGCCTGTGTGTTCCCAATGGTGTAGAGAGGTGCGGCTCTTCCTGGGAAGTAGAGTAGCCTTAGGCGACCATGCTAGAGGTGGACAGCCACAGGGCCTGGGGCTGTTAAAGAAATCCAGGTCCTCCAGTCTCTCTGGACTCCCAGATACCGTCTTTGGGAAGAGCAGGGTGCAGTGCAGATGGAGCCTCCCTTGGGAAACGGTATCACTATAACTAATTATGTTCATACAAATTATATATATTTGTATTCATCTGCATTTCAGTTTCTGTTTTGTGTACACATTCCAGAAATGCCTTGCTGACATTACCTAGACAGTGAAGAGATGAATCACAATTTTCTGAATTTTGAATTCCTTTAGTTTCCTGGATTATTTAACAGTATTTACTACCTTACTTTACAATCCCACATTAGCAAATCTGCTGTTTTTTGCCTAGAGCCTATTTGTTAACCCAGCACTCAGAGTTTCTGCTATAGAGCTAGGCTTTTATGTTGTTTGGTGATCAGGGAAGTTATTTCATGAAGAATTAATGAGTTAAAGTGGTACTTAGGAAACTGAGCCACCAGGAAGTAGGTGTTTGTGAGCTTAGCTGATAACTTTTCAGCTGCAGATAAATGAAGAATTTTTTTTTAATAACGAAGTCTCAAGTGTGAATCAGTGCAGGGTTTCCAGTGCAGGCTTGATTCTGACCTTGGATGGAGAGAGTGGAGTGGCTGGGTGGAGGAGGGACATGCCCCACAGCGTGGAGAAGAAGTCTTTCCTGCCTCTTGGTCACCTCTAAACGGCAACAGTAATAAAAACACTGAGCTGGAAGAGGTCTGGCTTCGAGAAAGTTTAGTAGCCAGTTAAAGACAGAAGTCAACTTTTTTGTCTTCATTTTGGCTTGGTTTTTATTTTTGTAATTGACTAATAGCAATTGTACCTATTTATGGGGCACAGTGTGATGTTCTGACACCACTATATCATGCTATGGGACAGGGTTTGACATTCTGACACATTGTATCATGCTGTGCAACACTGTATGCCATTCTGACACATTGTATCCTACTGTGGGACACAGTGTGATATTCTGACACACTGTGTCATGGCCATCTGGGGTGAGCAGCTCACCCATCACTCCAGACGTGCAGCATTCCTTTGTGGCAGCACATTCGCACTCTCTTCTTTGAAACACTGTACTCCCTACGGCATTGTTACCTGAGTCACCTGACTGCGGTCCATGCCAGGCTCACTGCACCATCCCACTGTCCCTGGGCACTTGTGGCCCCTCCTCTGCCCGGGCCCCTGCCCCTTAGCATCCTGGCCCTGGTCAC